CCGGGGTGTTTGGGGGTGGGGTTGGCAGAGAAACATTGTAATTGGGATAAAATATCATTACAAGTCTTTCAAATCCAACATTTCCAGATAAGATTATGTCGGGTTGGCGGGGGGTCAGGGAAACATTATAATTGGCTTAAACAATCATTACAAGTCTTTCAAATTCAACATTTCCAGATAAGATTATGTCGGGACGGCGGGGGGTCAGGGAAACATTGTAATTGGTAATTGGCATAACATATCATTTCTCTCCCTTCAAATTCAACATTTCTAGATAAGATAATGACAATGGGGAATGCAGGGAAACACTGTGATTGGCAAAAAATATCATTTAATAGTCTGTATAAATTAAAAAAAAATCCGGGAAGGCGTTTTTAGAAAGTATTTCTGCTGAAAAAATTCAATAGCGTCTGTATTGTCGTTAACTGCATAATTTTGTCATTGACTCGGGGCATTAGAATGTTCTATATTTCTGGTTAACTGCGATACGATTATAATTTTCTGGTGTTTAATTTATATTACAGTTGCGTTCTTCCACTGAAAATACTTTACACCTATACCCGTATACGCTTTGGTTGATAATATTTAATACAATATGTAGAAGAAGAGTTTCAATACAAGCAAATTGTTTGGCTAATAAGTCCGCGTATTCTGAACACTTGTAGTCATATTCCTGAAGCAATGGCCCGAGAAATCCCTCTCTGGCCATTGCTGGATTGGCTTTTGATATTTGAGCTTTTGAGGGAGTGTGTCTATTCTTCCCGATCAATCAACTCTATCCCAAGTACAGCAACATGACAGCCCTTCGTTTAATCTGGGGTCTTCCCTAAAACTGTGGTTTATGGTATTAAAAACGGTGAAATTATTGTTCGTCTCCATACAGAATTGTTTATATTGTATTTGTTTTGATAGCCTCGTTTGTCACGCAATTAGTTTTTCTGCAATATTCTGCTATACACTGGTTAATTGGGCATAATAAAATCGAGAGTCATGACGTAACGTTATGTAAACATATTTGGTCCAATTTCGAGCTCTGTTTAAAGCGTAATGATATTGTTACGCAGTTAGCTATTGGTTAATAATCGGACTATTGACCAGTCATGATTTGAAACAGAAATTTGCTTCCTTTATAGCAGTGTTAAGTGGGATTAGGTAGTAATAAAACGAAACACTGCGAGGAGTATCCATTGTAGTAGGCTACTTCACGGTGTCTGTGATTCTCCTAAAACGGCGAATGGGATCGCCAAAAGATAGGGATAATACGATTTGTTGATTCCATTATTTCCAGCTGTAAAAGTTAGAATTACCGGGAAATTCACAACGGAACGAAGAAATGCCATGTGCTGATAATACGAGAAGGCGTGTATATTTCAAATGCCATTTAAAGACATGCCTTCTATTCACTTAATTTATTAAATATTCATTTATATGTGTTAATAATTCTACACTGATGACATAATAAATATTTGCAGTTTTTCGACCAAAATTAAATTTCAAGATAATTTGATGGGCAAATTCGCGAAGTAGTCAATGCCGATCAGTGTCGATAGGATAGCTAAAGTGTTTTTGAATAAATCAAACTGATCGGCAATGTTTATTTTTCTCCATTTGACTAAGCTGTTTAGTAGGGCATGTTTACATTACAGAGTATGCAGAAATTTGTTAGAGCGAAATGATCAATTTGTTTAATCGAAATAACATTTCGTTACTACGAAATATCATATCGTTAATATAAAATATCATATCGTTAATACGAGATATTATATTGTTAATATAAAATATTATTCTTAATACGAAATATTATATTGTTAATACGAAATATTATATTGTTACTACGAAATATCATATCGTTAATACGAAATATTATATTGTTAATACGAAATATCATATCGTTAATACGAGATATTATATCGTTAATATAAAATATATTCTTAATACGAAATATTATATTGTTACTACAAAATATTATATTGTTAATGCGAAATATCATATCGTTAATACGAAATATTATATTGTTAATACGAAATATTATATTGTTAATACGAAATATTATATTGTTAATATATATTGTTCATACGAAATATTATATTGTTAATACGAAATATTATATTGTTAATATATATTGTTAATACGAAAAATAATAATGTTAATACGAAATATTATTTAGTATAAACGAATTATCTATTTCCGTTTAACGAAATAATTAATTCGTTATATTATATCGAAATAATTAATTCGTTATATTATATCGAAATAATTAATTCGTTATATTGTATCGAAATAATTATGTAAGCGTGGAATTGTGCACTTAAAGTGCGGCTTATGTCGGCTTTCAAACTAGGGTCAACTGCTTTTAGGGTCAAGTGTGTTTATGTCCACCAAATCAGCAACTGAGAGCTACTGATAGCAACGGAATTCTGAGCGCTTATGCCGATTCGGAACTCATAGCGAATACCTTAGAAGATTCATACCAAAGGCCTGGCCAGTCTTGCGACAATTCTATAGCGGTCATTTACAACATGTAAATTTTCTATGTACCAGGATCCCCGCACAACGTTGTTGAAAATTGCCAGAGCTTCAATTATTGCACTGGACGAACAAATGGTTTTATTAAGTAGAGAATGAATAAAAACAAGGGAATGTATGGGCTATTTCTATTTTCTTTCGTTTTCCCTTATCTAGTGACATTCAATTACTTTTCTGGATCAAAAGATATCCTCTCACAGCCTTACATAACAACTTTTAGTCTTCGAAGGAACTATTATTAGTGAGCAAAAATTCGCCCGTGTATCTGTTATAACTCGTGACTACAGTCAGAAGGATAACTCGTGTTTTCCTTTCGCGTTCGTCACTTCCGTTTCTTGAAATCTTTATAACACATAGCAATGATCTCTGTGATAAAATTATATTTGGAACGTGTTAAACCAGTTCTAACACATATGTGATAATGACTGACACCAATATTGTCCATTAAGATTAATCATTATGTTGTTAAGATTGACCGGTGATCTAGTTAATCTCTTGTTCTTGTTTAAACTTGATCAGACTTAAACGACACGCCGCTTTCATTGACCGAGGAGTGTCATTACAGCATGGACCAATGTTTTAGTCAGAGAAAATGTAATGAAATGAAATAGAGTTTAACGTCCAACTGTTCTGTCCCGACTGGGCTAATAAAGATGGGCATACAGCATGCTAAGAAGGAAATTTTGCCCGGACAGTGGCATCACGGCCTATTTCCATTTGGTCAATGGTTCTTTTAACAGCACGTCAATGTGTACACAGGACCTCGGTTTTCCGTCAACCACACCATACACCACCCACAAACAATTACACAAGACAAACCTATGGACAGGACACAATATACAGACACCACGCACAACAAACGCACATATCAGATCAAGTGAATGGATCTCGGACCTGTAGTGATACAGTCTTCACTCGAAAATGAAACACGAACCAGGGAGCTAATATAGACCCAGGGGCGGATCCAAAGGGGTGGGGGCGGTTCGAACCCCCTCCCTGATCAGCTACAAAAATATTTTTGTAAATCAAAACTTTTTAAGAGAAAAGTTTCTCGGCCGTGAGCTTTATCCTTTATCGTCAGATGTGGGACAGGATGGGCACTCAAAGCACGAGATAATGATATAGACATTATGTGATATCACAACTGATGCTTTGCATCCATGAAATTGAATCACAATGTCATTGTATTAATTCATAATAAAAATTGACGTCAAACGAGATGTTGAATTTCTCTGTTTAAAAAGCTCAATGTGTATGTGTATATACGCCAAAATAACGATAGAGGCCATGCGGGAGTGGGTGGGAGGGGGATACATTCTCTCAGGAACCTGGTAAACCCCCCCTGCAAAATTTCCTGGATCCGCCCCTGAGACCCACTCTTGAAGTAACACTAGAAAAGTGAAAGTGTCCCACAAAATACGACCTTATGCGAACAAATTGCAACTGGATCCAGATACCGCTAAATATTTTATAGTTATCTCCCTGTTTACGAATTTACCATGGTCAGAGCCAGGACTCCTACAATAAATGATCGACCAAAAAGGAAACAAATACATGTACAACATGAATGTTAATAATAATGTATTACTATTAGTATTAATATAATATTGAATCGGTTAATTATATATTTTGTACTTTGGAATATAGCATAATTTCTGTCAAACCGGGCCACGTTATCCAGCTAGTTTAATTTCAGCGTACATGAAAGTTGTTTTTCATTTCGAAAGATTAAAATTTATTGAAATCGTTTTTATTTTAAATTATATATCTACAGAGCACCAGAATCCTACCACGAATATAAACTATCGATTTTCAAAATTATCAGATCGTAAATTGCGAATTCGCTTTCTTTCAAATTTTGACTTTAAAAGTCTGATGTCGTGAAACAGCAGACTGTTCTCTGTGAGTTTTCACCAAGGGCCCAAGGAGGAACAATGGTGGTGAGTGTATAAGGGGGCCTACAAGCTCCATCTTTGTTCATATATAAAACACGTGTAATATGCCCCATTCTTTTCGGTAAACATGGATGAAAACACGGAATTACATACCTTACTAAAGATGTTTCCCAGATCTACTTGTATGTTGGACGTAGATAATTCAATCAAAGCATTAGACGACGACAGTAATAGAATTACATCAAAAATCGTTTTAACTATTTGAAATGAAATGAAATGGGATTTACCGCACCGACTAGGCTAATGAAGACGGCATACTCCATACAGTTTAGTATATGGTAAATTTTGCCCGGACAGCGGTACTATGGCCTACACATATTCCGAATTCCAAGGGTTATTTTACGTGCACGTTAACCATGTGAACATTTCCAGAAAGAATAAACATATTCATGTTCCTAAAGCAACGACTGCGAGTTTTTACAACATCTGGACGTTGCTAGATTACTTCACAATTCCCGAACTTAAAGGACAATATTGGTGCCAGTCATTATCACATATGTGATAGAGCTGGTTAAACACATTCCAAATATACTATTAACACAGAGATCCTTGCTACGATAGCTGAGTAATACAAGTTTCCCGAATCGGAAGTGACGAACGCCAAAGGAAAACACGAGTCACCGCTCTATATAACTGACTGAAGCGACGAGTGATAACAGATACACGGCCGAATTTCTGCTCAGAGGTTGTGACATAGCGAACTCCACGGAAACCTTGACATTGAACGAAGCTTGAACTCTGTAAACTCGATTATCACAGGTAGACATTTTAGCTTGAAAGCGCGAGACTTGGTATTTGCGACGATCGAAGAATCTGATAGGCTCACGAGCTGGGCTTGTACCCAATCGAAATTAGTGCCGAAATATTCAGGGTATTACGTGAAGGCCTTGATAAGATGTACATAGTTAAAGCGAGATCAAGCCTTCTATTGCAGATGAAACATCCTCTGCCCAGTGTGTGAGACCCAGTGCTTCTCACCCAATGCTTCTCAGGCAGGTTATCAGTCAAGCTAATAAAATAAAGCAAATCTGGAAGATTTAAGGCAACTTTATTTTCAAAGAGAGAGAGAGGGGGAGAGAGAGAGAGAGAGAGAGAGAGAGAGAGAGAGAGAGAGAGAGTTTAACGTCCACTCGACAAAAACTAGGTCATTTCGGGACTAACATATGGTTTAATTTTATTTCAATAATTCGCTTGCGCGTAGGGGTCTTTAGCAGTGGGAGGAAACCGGAGGACCCGGAGAAAACCCACGAGGTTGGACAGGCGACCCTACTCCTTGTCACATACAACCGGGGATTCGAAACCACGCCAGTCGACTCAATGACAGACTTTATGATAAAGCGCGCGCATTCAGCCATCCAACCCCTCCCCCATTTTCAAAAAGACCAAAATATTAAAAGAATATGTATTCTAACAAACTGATTAAAACACATATCCTTTTTCGTTTCGTTTTTCATAGTTCAAAATTTCGTTTTACTTGTCTTTACTACACTGGGATCTGGAAGAGTTCTTATATTATAAGCTGCATTCTGGATGATGTGAGGGATTAGCCAATGAAACCGTCTGTTACGATGAGTGTTTGGTGTGAGGTGCACGGAACTTTCGGTAAATCACTAGAAACGTCAACGCTGATTGATTAATCAATGTCTGACGTCATAGGTCAACAACCGCGCGTATGACACCTGACGCGACGTTCCATTAAAACTGGTCAAATGTTCATGTAGTGTAGGCCAAAGCCCTGTATATATACGGCTTTGGTGTAGGCCATCGAAAGTATAAAAAAAAACGAAACGAAATATAATTTGTATTTTAATCAGATTGGTATTCTAGTGAAATATAATTAGTAGTAACGTTAGGTGAATATGAATATAAGAACATTGTGAGCTAAAAATACTAATTATTTGAACATTATTTGAAACCCTGTTAAATTGTTATTTGGAAGATAATAGGATATGAGGGATATGACCCATTTAGAGTCGAGGCTAATGTATTTATTGTTTTAAACTGTTATTATGATGGCAGAAATCGGGGGATATATAAAGCAAAATTAAGCTTCGAAAATTAGACAACCATTTGATTTTCAGAAGGTCATGATGTAGAGGTTAGACGGTAAAGGGGTGGGGTGGAGATAAGGGTGGACGGACGTCTCGGCCACTGGACGTTTCGGTCGCCAGACATTTCGGTTTAGGACGTTACGGTTAAGGGACGTTTCGACCAATTTTACAAAATTTTATCTTTGTTTTAGTGTTCATCTTTAACAATTAATGAAATATTTTATTTTTCTATTGGTATTTTTATCAAAAAAATGTTTTGAAGGTGAGTAAAGTAAGTTTTTGAAGCATTTCAAGGGAATAATAGCTATGCATACTAAACTTTGCTAGACAATATTATTCATTTTAATAAGTGAATAAAAACTAATTATAAAAGGAAAGTAGTGCTTGAATGTTGTTATAAAAACTGTTATCTTAAGGAATATGAAATACGCAGTGCTTAATAAAAATAAAAATATATCAGTAAATGTAACCTGCTTCCATATAAAACTGTATACAAGAAACTATTGTATTGTTGTTACTTAGGAACATGTGCGATTTGTCGTACATAAAGGGAAGCCCTAGACGATCACTGGACAAAAATAAAAGATATGTAACCGGATAGTGCTACACTAGCCAGCCTGGCCCTCAGCTTCCAATGTTCGTCTAATAGCTAAAATGCCATCTCGGAATGGTAGCAAAACCTGAAAATAAGACAAAATACATATTCAAACATTTTAGAAATGAAAGGTGGTTTAACGCCCTACTCTTCTGAACCAACCGGGATAATGATGACGGACATACGCCATACAATGTGTTAAGAGGAGAATTTTGCCGAGTCAGCGGCACTACTCTTATTGTCGAATTCCAAATGTTAAGAGTTCTTTTACGTGCTCGCCAAGCCGTAAACATGTACACTGTAAATGGGACCTCGGATTTTCGTATCACCCGAGCGACTAGGCAACCCGTCCTACACCACTGACACGGGGAAACCACGTTTGTCTGTACGTCTACAGTTTTGTCAGTACAGTAATAATTATTTTGGAATGAACACGTAAATGTCGTGTTGGTCAATACGTATCGTATTTTTAGCAATAAAAAAGCTTTCAAAACTACTGTGGGTCAAACTCTCACGGGCCTCTAAGAACCACGAGGAACACCGAACCTTATTGAAATTGACACAACTTACCTGTCGTAAATCAGGTCGGTTAGCAATGTATTCATTAAAATCATTTATAGGATTCTGCTCTCGTGATTTAGGGATCAGGTAAGGCCGACCATCAGACAAAGCATTATCAGCTAAAATAATACCATTTGGTGCCAATAAACCATTATCTAAAATAGTCTGAAATTATGAATAATAATAAACAAAACCATTTGGTGCCAATAAACCATTATCTAAAATAGTCTGAAATTATGAATAATAATAAACAAAACTCATTTTACTCGTGCGCCAGGCAGTGCTAACAGCAAGCCACCAACAGCTCTAACAAACTATTGTACTTCTACATTTATATCGATGACTTTTCGGGGTAAGGATTGTTGCTTAGATACCACAATGTAATTAATCGAGACACATTTCATATTCATATCAAGACAATGAATGTGTAATTAACTTAATATGATTTATATATCAATACAATGAATATGTAATTAATGTAATGTGATTTATATCAAGACAATGAATGTGTAATTAATGTATATCTAGATAATGAATGTGTAATTAATGTAATATAATTTATATCTATACTATGAGTGTGTAATGTCAATATCTAGACAATGAATGTATAATTAATGTAATGTGATTTCTATCAAGATAATGGATGTGTAATGTGGTTTATATCCAGACATTGACTGTGTAATGTGATTTATCTACACAGTGAATGTGTAATGTGATCTATATCCAGGCAAGTTATGTATATCTAGATAATTAATGTAATGTGATTTATATCCAGACAATGAATGTGTAATGTGATTTATATCCAGACAATGAATGTGTAATGTGATTTATATCCAGACAATGAATGTGTTATGTGATTTTTACCTACTTCGACATATCCTCTATAACCAGCTTTATCTGCATCTACAAAAACTACATCAAACACCCTCCCTTCTTTTGTTAAAGTTTCTAAAGTTTCTCTCGCTGGACCTGGGAAGTAACCATAAAACAAACATATATAAATTAAAGATACATTATGGAAGATTAGATAAAGAGCTGGCATTTCTCTCTATAATATTTAAAAAACTAGATAATGTAAAGGGAATTTGCTGAAAATTTCAGTCAAATTGATCCACTCTGAACCGAGAATTAAGCGGTTGAATCTTCGGCCTAGTCTCCATCATCATTACTAAAGTCGGTACAATAAATAAAAAACATAGTCTCAATTATCCACTTTTTTAAAAATTTTAATGAATGAGCGTTGAGCAACAGATCGGATTATAATCCAGTAAATATCGCAGGCTAGTCATGACATCGAGAGTTGAGTATGGTCTGGATAAGTTAATTAATAATTTAGATAACATTTCAGGCCCAAAGAGAGACCTGCAATTGGCAGACTTAGCTCTTGCATATGTTTAAGGAAACATGTCAGTTACCTAACATGTCAGTTACCGGAGAATAGTGGGTGTTTGCCTTTATTGTAATCATAATCATAATATTCACTTCTACTTACCTGATACAAATATGTATTTGTACATGCGCAGTGTTCAGGGCGGGAAGAGGGACTTCCGCCTAGACGGTTTGGGAAGAGAACATGGCATCGGCCTCTCTGTATTATTAGTTAATAAAACAGTTTAGTAATCGGTGGTTTGAGTGTCAACAATGGGGATTATGGTGTCAAGTCTCCCTCAACCGGTTATTTTAAATGGGTTGTTTTAATAACGACCATTGGTAATGAAAAATTAGCTACGAGAACTAACTAAAAACGTTGAGATATACTGATGTGCTTGTTTTTAGCTACGATTGGATGCCTTTAGTTCCAAGTGGCAAACTCAATTTCTTTATTAATGCATGTACCATCTTAAAAATAAGTTAATTTTATACTATTTGTACTTATTACACATACGCAGCCCAATCTACTGAAACAACATTCATTTATCAGCAACTATTGACAATAAAGTAAATTAAGCGTTGTTTTATGTAACTGTGGAGCCATGGTGGTTCACTGAGTTAGGTGCTGACACAATTTCCCATGGATTCCTTCATGTAAGGCACATGCCTGACAAGGACAAGAAACGGCGTTAAGTCATTCGGATGGTACAATAAACCGAGCACCCGTGTACACCTTTGTGTATAACGAATGTCCGGCTTCATTAGCCCACTTGCAGCAGGGCGTTAAATCGCATTTCATCCGTTCATTCGATTTAAAACAGCAACGTGACGCAATATAACTTCACTGGTAACCAATTGGTATATTTGATTTAAAACACTTAGCAACGTGACGCAATATAACTTCACTGGTAACCAATGGGTATATTTGATTTAAATGTGACGCAATATAACTTCACTGGTAACCAAAGGGCATGTTTGATTTAAAACACTTAGCAACGTGACGCAATAAAACCTTACTGGTAACCAATGCACTCGTGGTAACCAATGGGCATATTTGAGAGTAATGTTATGATATCATCTTGGCGGTGTTTGGGTAAAAGTTTAAATAAATTAATCCACCTACCAAAATATGGTTTAATCTTTTTACCATGAGGTGATCGACTGAAAAATTCTGAAGTCAAATCTTTTAGATAATCAGATATTTCACAAGTGATGACAACGCCATCTGCTGGTAGAGCCTCGGCCATTGATAGAGCTGTATATCCGGTAAACATACCAATCTCCAAAATCTGTTTAGCTTTAGTTATGCTTACAATAAAATTTAGAAACTGACCTTAAATATATGAACATTAATATCATCAGTGATGCTGTGCAATCAGTCGATGGAAAATGGGGTTAAACGTTCACACAAACTAGGTCATTTCGGGGATAAAATATGGTTCAGTTTCATGCCAACGTCTTACTAACTTGTGTGTTTGTGGGGGCTCCATACATTCGAAGAAGGGTGGGTTGGATGGCCGAATGGTTAGCACGCGCGCGCTGTCGAATACCGTCTGTCATTGAGTCAACTGGCGGGGTTTCGATTCCCCGGTTGTACGTGACAAGGAGTAGGATCGCCTGTCCAACCTCGTGGGTTTTCTCCGGGTCCTCCGGTTTCCTCCCACTGCTAAAGGCCCCTACGCGCAAGCGAATTATTGAAATAAAAAAATTAAACCAAACCATACGTTAGTCCCGAAATGACCTAGTTTGTGTCGAGTGGACGTTAAACCCTCTCTCTCTCTCTCTCTCGCTCATACACACAAACACACACACACACATTCGAAGAAACGAGAATTCATAATTGAAAGAAATGCTTACTAGTGATGGGACCACTGATCATTCTTGTTGCCATAATCCACGGCGTTTTTCCTGCCTTGAAGACTTCTTCCCATGGATGATTCATTGTTTCTTGTGTGATCTGAGCCAAGACATCGCTATGTTCAGTAGTTATCTCTTCTGCGTAGTTGTTGCGCTTGTTACACATATCCAGAATGTTTTCAAGTTTCTCGCGTATTTCTGGTTTGACATCTTTCATTTCTGGCGATTCCAGTAAGGCAGCAAGTTCCCTGATTGCTGGGTCGTAAACGAGCATATTTCTTTCTACGTTGATTGAAAATTCCCTAACTGCTGGGTCGTAAACGGCCATGTTTCTTTATAAGTTGAAAATTCAAAATACTATCTAAAAAATAATCGTATCTTTATCAGGAACATAAAATATATAATGATTGTTGTCGTTAATGCAAAATGAAATGAAATACAATGGGGTTTAATACCGTACTGTTCTGTTCCAACCTGGCTAATGAAGATGGACATACACCATACAGTGTGCTATGAGGGAAATTTTGCCCGGACAGAGGGATCTTTTACGTGCACGCCAATGTGTACACGGGACCTCGGTGTTCATCCCATCCGAACAACTATACGTTGTCCCTTGCCATGCCCTCCCTCCTGCACCACACCGGAAAATCCTGATGAACTTTTTAACTATTATAGTGAGAGCTGTCAGCTCTGATCTTTATCTGGTCGTCGATGATGTATCTTAAAGCGAGAATTTCAAATTTTCTAAGAAAGTCAAAACATAATTAGTTCTATGTCTTTTGCTCAATAGGTTATCAAATCACTATTATACGATCATGGGCATTATTTCCCACCCTTAAAAAACCATGACACAGGAAATAACAACACAATTACCTCCCCTGTTTTACTATTGGGGCAGCCATTTTCCAACGTTGGAATTTGAAGTTAAAAATGATATTTTTGCCAATTTCTCAGCTGGCAATAGCAAATTATAGGATTAATAGGATTATTCTTTAACAAGGCAGGACTGTTTATGGATACCATCTATTTTAAGGCTTTATTTTAATACATTTTAAAAATATAACTTGAAAATTTGCAATTGCAACTTTAATTAAACATATACCCAACATGTCACCTCAGACTCGTCCTATCCATTACAGAATACCTCTCATCAGGTGTATCTTCCTGGTTTGTAGGTATTGCATATACATGACATACGCATAACCCCAGATTCGTGCTTTACCCATTACATAATACCTGTCATCACATGTATATACCTATAGCTTGTGGGTATGCATATAACATACGCTTAATGAGTTCTGCATGAATAAAATTATAGTTTGTTATTGTACGAAGGCCATTAGTGCCAAAGAAAAAAAAATATATTAATCCGTTTGAACGAGTTAGTATCTGGTTTGCACGAATTAGTATCACGTTTAAACGAATTGGTATCTGAGATAATTAATTCGTTCAAACGAGATAATAATTCGTTCAAATGAGATACTGACTCGTTCAAACGGATTAATATTTATTTTTTGTTTGGCATTAATGGGCCTTCGTATTATTGTATTTCACTTTGTCATATCTAAATGGTATGGAGTAGACGTTAACCCTTACTTCTCTCGGTCTCTCCCTGGAAATATGGAATTCCTCGGCCGTAACAAAATAATGTACGCTTACAATATAATCTCCTTGGTATAAATCCTCATGCTGAATTAAACTGTTTATATTTAAGTTGTATGTTCAACACTGTAAATACCTAATTCCGGCAATGAATGTACAGGTGAGAGGAGTGAAATGAAATGAAATGGGGTTAAACGTCCTAATGTTCTGCTCCGAACTGGGCTAATGAAGACCGCGGTATATGCCATACAGTGTGCCATGAGGGATATTTTGCCTGGGATATCTTTTACGTGCACGCCAATGTGTACATGGGGCCTCGGTTTTCCTTGTCAGGCCCTCCGTCCTGCATCACTGACAAGGGGGAACCACGCCGGAAAATCTGGATGAACTTTCTCGGCCAATGCAGGGATCGAACACCCGACCTCCAGGCTAGCGAGCTAGCGTCTTACCCACTTAGCCACCGTGATCCCCACGGGTGAGAGGAGACACGCCTCCTAAAAAAACATTAGACGTATAGAATATGTAGTAAGTGTCTGCTTACCGTGTTCTTGATATGATTAACACAACCTACTGCATATAACCTCAATTGCTCAATAACAAACAAACATTGTTGTAAATCATGGGGTATATAGGTGTCACGTGATTACCAGTGTTAAACATACATTATGCCGTGCGTAACTAACGTACGAAAATTAATTGGTGGCTAGCTCTTTTTTCGCACGTATATAGTGAATGTCCATTTTGCTCAGTAATCCCAGCCAGAATTTGGCTATTTTCTAAATTTGCGTTAAAGGTTAAAATATTTGTTTTAGAACTGAAACACATTAACTATTAGTCAATCCCAACGCTAAAAACATCAACAGAATTGATTGTGTATATCTGAAATAGACCCGACCGACGCACAAAATAGTGCAATATGGCGGCCTCTATGAACAACCCTCGCAGACGCTGTCATTGAAGACAACGTCAATTCTATGAGTTGTAGATGTTATTTTCGTGAAAAAATCATTGGAAGAAGAGAGAACATGTTGGGACTGTACGAATTATATAGTCTTTATGGGTGCAACGGACACAATGCTGAAGATAAACCTATTGTTTACAATCTTGACCTCATGACCCATTGACGCCAATGTCATGACCTGTGATGTGTAGATCACGTGATGTGGATATCATGGCTACTGACTGTGTCTGAGATACTTCTCCCAGGTAGCGTGTCTCAGATATTCAGAATGACATTATGCAAGAGCTATGTTTGCATATTGCAGGTCTTTCTTTAGGCCTGAAATGTTATATAAACTATTAATTAGACATTTATTAACAAAACAAGACCATTATCAACTCTCGATGGCATTGGATATTCGAGATTTAAACTAGATTAGAACGGTTCGCCATTTCAAAATTTAATTTTAAATTGGGAAAGCGAGGCTATATATATTGAATATACCAGTGCCCTGGTTACCACAATGCACACACCTTGTCCAAACTACAAACAGCGATAATTTGGATCAGAATGAAGTAATTTCAATAAAATTTTCAATATTTTCATTTTACATTATCTATTTTTGAGCTTTTATTGCAAGAATGGCCAGCTCTTTATCTAAATCTTACATAATCTTTAAATGAATCACTAGCTGTGCAGCTAACAAACTTACAGCCCGCTGCTAATTACAGCTCGTCTAGTGTTTGGAGGGGGTCACGGTGGCTAAGTGGGTAAGCCGCTGGCTCCCTAGCCTGGAGGTCGGGTGTTCGATCCCTGCATTGGCTGAGAAAGTTCATCCAGATTTCCCGGCGTGGTTCCCCCTTGTCAGTGATGCAGGACGGAGGGTCTGACAAGGATAGCTGTCTAGTCGTTCGGATGGTACAAAAAAAACGAGGTTCCGTGTACACATTGGCGTGCACGTAAAAGATCCCGTGACAGTTGGAATTCGATATAAGAGTAGGCCGTAGTGCCGCTGTCCGGACAAAATTTCCCTCATAGCACACTTTATGGCGTATGCCAGTCTTCATTAGCCCAGTTCTGAGCAGAGCAGTAGGACGTTAAACCCCATTTCATTTCATTTCACAAGTGTTTGGTGGTTCATCACGTTCATCATGTTCATCATGCTAAGTCACGAAATATTACATTGTGGCGTCGGTGTAAATTCATTCGAATACGATAGGTATATAGTAATACCTGATTCAGCAATTTGGTCGTGATCAGGCATTGAGTTCACAAAGCATACTCAGACTTAAATTAAGAATTTACATAACTTTTTATCACTTTTTATATGAAATATCTTTGATCCAGAAACACAAAACTGTACACATAGTTTCTTATTGACGTATTTAATAAAGTAAAACAACACAAGTTTTATAAAGGGCTATATTTTAGTTTAAATAAGGCGAACATTTTTGAGTAAATTCTTAACTTAAGTCCGAGAATGCTTTATGAACTCGGGGCCAGAGGTGTGTTATGAATTGCACAAGCAATTTCTATCTGAATTAGAAAATAATATCTTTGCTGACTTTTTCAAATCGGTTCTTCGTGTTCTATCAGTTACTGTCCTTGTTGCACTTGTTATTGGTATAGTGGCATAAATACTCAATTTAACTTAAGACAATCTCTGACAAAAATTCAAATCTGAATACTTACATACAACCAATTAGTAATTGCATTTATTAAGTTTTCTTTGTCAATTTTCATTAAAGAAGGGAACATGTCTCATATAGACATGCAGACCAGTGACCACTGATTTGGAATCATTAATGTGCCTGGATAAGATTGGGAAAGTTGAGGCAGAGAGTATAATAGAAGAAAGGGATAAGTATTATTAATCAAAACGATGTCTGATGCAACTGAGGTCACCGGGTTGCAACCCGATATTTGGCGCAAATGGGTTGATGAGGGGCGTGTTACATTTGGTACTGGCTTTGATGCACCACAAGAGTCGACTTTAGCCCAATTTGAAGCTAGTCAAGCGAAGATCTATGATCAATTTTTGGGGGAGGTGTGGTGCTATAATTGATTTACCACCGGATTAGATTTTATTACATACTTCGAGAAGGTATTTGTTGACGTGTGACGTCACTCCAGGAAGATCAAGCAATACGATTACGTCATCTTAGAAACAGATTTATCACTGCAACCTCCACCAGTAGAGAGATGTTTGGTGGAAGGGTAACTGCACAAACTGTTCGAAATCGCTTGCAGGCTGCTAGTCTTCGAGCTCGGAGGCCCTATAATGGACCAATATTGACACCTCTCCATCGCCGTAACCGACTTGTGTGGGCCACAAGACACATTAGATTTACTCAAAGACAGTGGAATTCGGTTGTCTTTAGTGACGAATCTCGATTCACTTTGAGATTTACCGATGGCAGGGCCCGAGTGTACCGTAGACGAGGTGAACGTTACGCTCAAGTATGCGTCAGAGAAGTTGACCGATTTGGTGGCGGCAGCGTCATGGTTTGGGGTTCTTTTTGTGCACATGAACGTTCTCCTCTTGTTGTTGTCCAAGGGAACTTAAATGCTGTCCAGTACAGGGATCAGATTTTGCAACCTGTTCTTCCTTATATGCAGAGACATGGGCCTAGACTAACGTTTCAACAAGACAATGCTCGACCCCATACAGCAATTGCTACCCAGAATTTTTTAAGAAATGCCGGTGTCCAAGTCCTGGATTGGCCGTCGCTTAGCCCCGACCTTAATCCTATTGAACACTTCTGGGACGAACTGGATCGATGTGTTCGTCAGCAAGTGAATCCACCACTGACGTTGCAGGACCTTCAACATGCTCTTGCTGAGCAGTGGCGACGTCTTCCTCGAGTAGTGTTTATTAATGTTCTGAGATCCATGAGAAGACGTTGTGTGGCAGTACGAGAGGCTAGGGGGGGCCACAACCGTTACTAAACACTTTATTCCGATTGTTCTCCAAGTCTGTGAATTTCATTTTGGGGGGTACTGTGATATAACGAACGTTATCAATGTCAAGGACTTTCGGCGAGACGTATTCTTGCTTTCTGTAGATGTCAAGGTCGTCTGTGCACAACATAACACTAAAATAGTTGCCTTAAACCAAATATTAAAAATCTAGCCCCAAAAATCCCGAGTGTCAAGTTTTTAATTTGGCTGAGTATATATGGACGACACAAACACGGATTACTAGCCAGTAGAACGCCAACTAAAACGATTTTGAGGTAATCACGCACAAATTTTACATTTTTAGCTTTGCAGTTCCTGCTAAACTCGGAGACATCATTAATTCTTTATTGTATTCCCTATTCCGTATTATTCCCGATATCCCTAAAATTTAGTAACCTACTCCCATAGGCCCACTTTAAATTTAAAATAACTCCAACTTGACATTCATAAAGGTAAGCATATTACATAAATTATTAACCTACACGTCACGCTTGATTATGTATCCTCTTTCCTACGCTCAAAGGGGGGTGGGGGGTGGGGTGGTGGTGGTGGATGGCCGAATGGTTAGCACGGGCGCGCTGTATCATAAAGCCTGTCATTGAGTCAACTGGCGTGGTTTTGAATCCCCAGTTGTACGTGACAAGGAATAGGATCGCTTGTCTAAAGCGAATTATTGAAATAAAATTAAACCATGTTAGTCCCGAAATGACCTAGTTTCTGTCGAGTGGACGTTAAACTCTCTCTCTCTCTCTCCCTCTCACGCACAGATTATAATAAAGTCATTCTCTCAACGGACTCTGCTAACGAATTTTTACATGGTATTTCCTCTGATGTCTAACCTAGAGCGCATATTTAATAAAATATATGCTCTCAGATTCACAGCCATTAATTATTCTATTGGCTAATTATCATGTAACTAATCAAGTGATTGGTCACTCATGCCAAATATGAAATAGTAACTTTCCGATCACGTGCTTTAAATCATCTTATACCATGGCTAATATACTGACAATGGAGAATACAAATAAAACATGTAGAGTGTATTTATCAAATTATAACTCATGTCCTCTGGTGAAATTATATTCGTCTAATACAATTTCGCATAAATTATCAAATAATATTACACTTTAATAAAAAAAAAAAAACAAATTAAAAACAATATGTAATCTAGACAGCCTGTCCCTCAACTTCTGATGTTCGTCTAATAGCTAAAATGCCATCTCTGATTGGTAACAAAACCTGAAAATAAAAAAAAACCAAGTGGTTACCATTCAAGTTACACCCACATTTTGCGAGAGATTTTTCGTCCACCAGGGGCCATAATCCAATATGTTGCGGTCCGACGTGCTACAAACTCAAAAGGAACCAAGATCTTTGGGACTACAAAAAAAAAATCAGAGGCCATAATCCAGAAAGTTACGGTCCGGCATGCGCAAATATCGACAGGAACCGAGATCTTTAAATTATAAACATATATTTTAAGATTCATAACAATCGGACAAAAATTGTGGATCCCACTGTGTCCACAACCTTGGTATTACATACCTTTACACTATCTGCGTATGAAGAGCGGCCATTTTGTCAGACAGTTTAGGTCCGATTTTCACAAAATTTGACCCCTAGAGGCTCCACAAGCTAAAACGCAATTTTTCGTACAATAAGGGTTACAATCTAGGAAGTTACAGTCCGAAATACGCGAATATCGAGAGGGCTTTGAGTTTTAAATATACATTGTAAGTTTCGTCAGAATCGGATAAAAATGTGACCTCTTGGGTGTCCACAAGCCAAAAACGTAATTTTTCGTACAATTAATCCATGAAGTTACCGTCCAACATGCCACGGTAGACAGGAACCGAGATCTTTAGGATATAAACTTCTGTTTTATGTATCGTGGAAATTCGATAAAAATTGTGACCCATGGAGTGTCCACAAACAAAATGTGAACGGACGGACGATGGATATATTTCTATGGACAGACGGCTAGACGTACAGGGGGGACAACAATATACGTCCAGATGAAAATAAGGGGGTAAAAATACATCTAAACATTATAGAAACAAAATGAAATGGGGTTTAACGTCCCTTTCTTCTACACCAACCGGGCTAATGGTGACGGCAATATATCACGTAGTATGCTAAGCAGACAGTGGCGCTACTCATATTTGGAATTCCAACTGTTAAAGATTCTTTTTCGTGATGGCCAGGTCGTTAACGTGTACACTGTAGATAAAATTTCGGTTTTTTGTACAATCCGAACGACTAGACACTGTTCCTTGCTTAGTCTCGGTCATCCCAGAAGTTCATAGTCTTAAACGTACGGAGGATCTGGTCCGTTGTCATATTTGACGAAAGTTCCATTGTCCATGCGTAACCGGGAGTTTGGTGTTTTTGTGGTTGATTATCCAGTATATTTGTTCAAGCCAAGAGAGTTGCGCCCCTTCCCGAAACAAATCCCATATTTCATGCCTTATTGAATCGTGACGATGAATTAGAATTAATTTAAAAACAAAAAAACCCGTAGATATGGCCCATGAAGAGAGAAAATATAAAGAGTGTTGGATAATTGAACTGGCAATGCAAATGGATTTTCTAAAATGACAATTCTTAAACTAATTTTATGTCCGTTTACATCTTGTTTTAGGACTAGTTACCTCCCTTAGACCGGATAATCTAGCCAATGACCTAATATTCTCAAATATTGACAACCCATCCACTAATATTCGTAGAATATTAAAATTTGTCAGAATGATATAGACTATTCCTTGTTAGGCATTCTGCCCTCATCCATCCACGTGATCACTTTAGCCATACTAATTATATGTCTGTAAATGAGGTTTAATATTCTACTGTTCTGCTCCGACTGGGCGTACGCCATGCAGTGTGCTAAAACGAAATTTTTGCCCGGGCAGCGGCACTATGGCCTACTCTTATATGGAATTCCAACTGCCAAAGGATCTTTTACGTGCATTCAAATCCGAACGACTAGACAGCTGTCCTTGTCCGCCCCCGCCCCCCGTCCTGAACCACTGACAAGGGGAAACCAGGTCGGAAAATCCCAAGAAATTTCTCGTCCAATGCAGGGATCCTACCCACTTGGCCACCGTGGCTCCGTGAAATGATAAAGCGTCTTGCCAGTACATTAATAATTCTGTTGGAATTCTGATTGTAATTTCAGCAACATAAAAGTTTTAAAATCACAGCGGGTCAGACTCTTACCTGCCATTCTGAAAGCTTTGAGGATCACCGAACCTAATTGAAATTGACACAACTTACCTGTCGTAAATCAGGTCGGTTAGCAATGTATTCATTAAAATCATTCATAGGATTCTCCTCTCGTGTCTTAGGGTTCATGTAAGCCCGACCTTGATACAGAGCATTATCAGCTAAAATAATACCATTTGGTGCCAATAAACCATTATTTAAAATAGTCTGAAATTATGAATAATAAACAAAACATATATTACTTATGTACCAGAGACAGAGAGAGTGGGGGGGGGGGTAACATACAAACATAATATGGTACAGTTTTATTTCTCGAGAGAGAGAGAGATTGGGTTTAACGGCCACTCGACACAAAACATGTCATTTCGGGACTAACATATGCGCGTAGGGGTCTTTAGCAGCAGGAGGAAACCGGAGGTTGGGCACGCGACCCTACTCCTTGTCACGTACAACCTGGGAATCGAAATCACGCCATTTGACTCACTGGCAGACAATATGATACAACGCGCACGCGCTAACCATTCGCCCCCCCCCCCCCCGCGGGTCTTTGGTAGTGAGAAGAGACCAGAGGGTCGAGAGAAAACCCGCAAGGTTGGACAGGCGACCCTACTGCTTGTCACATACACGCTTTGGATAGAAACATGTGCAGCGCACGGGATAGACCAGTCGACCACCCTCCACAGAACAGCAAAGTATTGTACTGTATTACTTATAGGGGTAAAGATTGTTTATGAACATACGGGGAATCGGCAGCGCTAACAACAACCCACCAACAGCTCTAACAAACTATTGTACTTTTACATTTATATCGATGACTTTTCGGATTAAAGATTGTTGCTTACGATACCATAATGTAATTAATCGAGACACATTTCATATTCATATCAAGACAATGAATGTGTAATTAAATTAATATGATTTATATCTAGACAATGAATGTGTAATTAATGTAATATGATTTATATCTAGACAATGAATGTAATTAATGTAATGTGATTTATATCCAGAAAAATGAATGTGTAATTAATGTAATGTGATTTATATCTATACAATGGATGTATAATGTGATTTATATGTAGAAAATGAATGTGTAAATAATGTAATATGATTTATATATCTAGACAATGAATGTGTAATTAAAGTAACGTGATGTATACCCAGACAATGAATGTGTTATTAATGTAATGTGATTTATATCTAGATATTGAATGTGTAATGTGATTTATATCTAGACATTGAATGTGTAATGTGATTTATATCCAGAAAATGGGTGGTATCAATGTAGTGTTAGAGTAAATCGTTATGCCGTAATGTAACACTAGTGTAACTATTTTCCTAACTTTGACCTGAAATAAAGCGTGAAGCCAAAAGGGAGATAATTGCGGCTCTATTTTCATTCAGCCGTGGATAAAACCACAAGGTAGCTTCTCCAAACAAAACTAGCGTTACCCAAACAAAATCAAACATGCCTCTTATAATTTCTTAGCTTATTTCAAAACAATTGATCACCAACAAATATCAGATTTTGTGCTTTTGTATCAATACCGAATGACTTTTAATATTGAATAATGATATTAGACGAAAAAATAACAACATTTAATGAAAATTAGTTAACACTTTACATCTTACTTTTGACCTCGATAAATTGTTAACCCCTCGGGGATAGAGGCAGTGTCTTAGAGCCCATGTTAAAAAATAGAGAATCTTCCATGAGCTGGGATTAGTGACAGTAGTGTTGAGTTCACTTCACGTGAGTAATTAAAAGTCAAGATAATGTTACAAATTTGGTTGAGGTCAAAATTCAAAACAGTGAGTCAGTTTTAAGTTTAGGGGTAAAAATATAAGTAAAAAATAGAGTTTTAACAATCTTATTAAAACACAGACCCTATTTCGTTCCGTTTTTTTTTAGGGGTAAAAATATAAGTAAAAAATAGAGTTTTAACAATCTTATTAAAACACAGACCCTATTTCGTTCCGTTTTTTTTATACTTCAAAACATCGTTTTACTTGTCTTTACCACACTAGCATCTGGAAGAGTTGTTATATTACCGGCGTTTTGGTTGAAGTGAGGGATAAGCCAATGGAACGGTTTGTTACAGTGACTTCTGGGCGTGCCAAGCGCGGAACTGTTGGTAAACCACTAGGAACATCAACGCTTATTGATTAATCAATATCTGACGTCCACTGGCACGACCTTCGAGTACAACTTGTCAGATCTTCATGTAGTGTAGGTCATCGAAAGTATAAAACACGAAACGAAATATAGCTCTGTATTTTAATAAGATTGGGGTTTGATCTGCTTGTCTCAGATGCATTATATACTTCTCAACTAATAACGTCCTAAGAAGCAGATAGAACAAACCAAGTATAGCAATGACCATTGGTTTCAATTTTAAAATTTAATATATTGTCCAAAGTGTGACCTTTTTTTCTAACCTGAACATCAAGTTAGGGGCTCGGGTTAACTCTTTTACTGACATAAACTCTAACACTAGCACTAACTTTTTGTTCTGGCGCCACCCAATGAATGTGTAATGTGATTTTTACTTACTTCGACATATCCTTTATAACCAGGTTTATCTGCATCTACAAAAATTACATCAAACAACCTCCCTTCTTTTGTTAAAGTTTCTAAAGTTTCTCCCGCTGGACCTGGTAAATAACCACAAAACAAACATAACTTCAGGTAACAAACATCTCTTTTGGTGTTACGGTAGCGCGAGAGAATAAAGGGGATTATGGCGTCATATCTCCTTCATGGGACACCAACTGGTTAGTTTTTTTTAACTGTGTTGTTTTAAAGATACATTATTGGAGATTAGATAAAGAGTTGGCAGTTCTCACTAGTTAAAAACTAGATAATGTAAAGGCAATTTCCTGAAAATTTCAGTCAAAATGATCCACTAAGAACCGAGAATTAAGCGATTGAAATTTCGGCCTAGCCTCGATCATCATTACTAAAGTTGGTACGATAAAAAAAAACATAGTCTCGATTATCCATTTCATGATTAAATCATAAATGAAACTCGAGCAGGAAATCGGATCATAATCAAATAAATATCGCAGGCTAGCGTTGACATCGAGAGTTGATTACGGTCTGGATAAATTAATTATATGTAATGTCTAATTAATAATTTAGATAAAATTTTGGGCCTAAAGAAAGACCAGCAAGAGGCAGATTTAGCTCTTGCATAATGTATGTTTCATAGCGACAAGGGTGCATGTGCAATGTACAAATATCTGATAATTTGATTGGTAGGCCTAATGCTTGGAATGATTAAACAGACGGCCGTCCTCGGTGATTACAGCATTGCTTCATAAACTAAGCGTTCGATCCGGCTGTGGATCGAGAAAGTTCCTATAGATTTTACATCGTGGTTTCAGTAGTGAAGGGCGAATGTCTGGCAAGGACATGGGCGTATGGTCAATCGAATGGGGTGAAACCCATATACACATCTCCTCATAGCAAACTGTCTCCATTAGCCCACTTGGAGCAGACACGTAGGACGTTAAATCGCATTTCATTCATTCATTCTATTTTAGCAACGTGACGCAATTGAACTTCACTGGTAACCAATGGGCAAATTTCCCCATACTCTGATTGCGAGTAACGTTGGGATATAATTTTGGAGGGGTTTGGGTAAAAGGTTAAATAAATAAAATGCACCTACCAAAATATGGTTTAATCTTTTTACCATGAGGTGATCGACTGACAAATTCTGGTGTCAAACCTTTAAGATAATCAGCTAATTCACAAGTGATGACAACGCCATCTGCTGGTAGAGCCTCGGCCATTGATAGAGCTGTATATCCGGTAAACATACCAATCTCCAAAACCTGTTTAGCTTTAGTTATGCTTACAATAAACTTTAAAAACTGACCTAAAATATATGAACATTTATATCATTAGAGATGCTGTGCAATCTCGAGGATGGAAAATAAGTAAAAGTGTCTTGCTGGATATGAAGAAAAACCAAGGTCCACGTACGTAAATCGAGAGAAAGAGAGAAGGAGAGATAGAGAGAGAGATGGTTCAATTTTAATCCAATAATTCACTTGCGCGTAGGGGTCTTTAGCAGTGTGAGGAAGCCAGAGGACCCGAGGAAAACCCACAAGATTGTACAGTATACAGCCCCCCCCCCCCACCTCCAAAACAAACCCCACACACACCCGTATAGGGATACTTGAAAGTGTGAATTCCCCGGTTGGTGAATTTCACTTTGGTCATCTATTAGCCCCTTAAGGTTTGAATATAAACATTTAGAAATTTAAAAATTAAACGAAATGGAGTTTAGCATGCTATTTTCTTGAACCCATTGGGCTTATGAAGACGGTGGAAATTTTTTAAGCGCGGAATATATTTTTTGTGTGGGTAAAAGGGTACGGATCGTGGCTTGCAATTGTTCAACTCCATCTTCTGAGAATAACCCTTGGGTATATCGTAATATGTTTATTTTACATGAAGAATGATAGCATCTGAAATGAACAATATTAAAACTATATGAGGACGGTTTCATAAACAAAATTAAATATAGAAATGTGACATTTTTGATTATACACATAATTATCGCAAACAAAGTTCAAGGGAAGGTCTTCCATTGTGTTAACTAAGGCAGATAACTCGGTTGGTTTTAAATTCGAACTGTAGCACCTACTTTCAGTGGTGGGAGGCGACGAGTATTCTCTGACTAACGTTCAGCATCGCGCATGTGTCAGTTACGCAAAGCTTCCTTGCGGGCCGCCAAAGTAGAGCGCCACGTAGGACGCGGGAGATAGCGACCAGGACGTATGGGATGAAGTCGGCCAGATACACATAGGGATGGTGATAACTTTGTTCTAGTGTCCGGAGTGTTACGATACTGTAGGATTGTCCGTTGGAATGTATTAGAATTTGTGCTGAAAGCCAACGGATAGAGCAGGAGCCCAGGGGGTTAACCTAGCTGAAAAGTGTACCAATTTTCTCCTATATGGTATCAATGTATGTATATCTGGTATCACCAGAATGTAAGTCTGCCGGGTTTCTGGTGGTGGGTGTGGTATTCCACGCCCATAATGCCATGCCCCCCAACTAGTCTAGATTAGCTCAAAAGTGTACCACATGAAAATCGCACAGCAATGTGCCGTATATCTTCAGGTATTACAAAAACACTCTGACAGATATTTCTAGTGGTGGGGTACCCCTGACAGAGCTATGTAATTGCCAGACATTTGTAGTGATGGAGTATCCCTGACAAAGAGTTATCTAATTTCCATACCAAAGCTAGGCTAGATTAGCTGAAATCTGTACCACCTAAAACAGCTTTGGAGTTGTTCAGTACCACCACAGGAATCATGAATGACCACTGCCAGACAGTTTGTGCGGTGGGTTCTGTAACGTGCACGGCAATGTTTACACGGGACCGCGGGTTTTCGTCCAATCCATTGTCAGGCCCTCTGTCCTGCATCACCCGACAAGGGAAACCACGCCGAAAATCCATATATATTATGAACCTTCTCGGCCAACACTAGGATTGAACACGGGGCCTCCAAGTTAGCGAGCCAATGTCTTATTCACTAAGCCACCCTGTCCCCCGACCCCTCCCCTCAAAGCTACATAGGTGCTTACAGAAGTTTCATCAATTCCTACAACAAAGCATTAGCAATCAACAAACATTCGAATGTGGAAACGAGAATTCATAATTGAAAGAAATGCTTACTAGTGAGGGGACCACTGATCATTCTTTTTGGCATAATCCAGGACGTTTTTCCTGCCTTGAAGACTTCTTCCCATGGATGATTCATTGTTTCTTGTGTGATCTGAGCCAAGACATCGCTATGTTTAGTAGTTATCTCTTCTGCGTAGTTGTGGCGCTTGTTACACATATCCAAGATTTTTTCAAGCTTCTCGCGTATTTCTGGTTTGACATCTTTCATTTCTGGCGATTCCAGTAAGGCAGCAAGTTCCTTGACTGCTGGGTCGTAATCAGCCATGTTTGTTTTTTCGTTGATTGAAAATTTACAATACTATCTGAAATATAATGATAACTTTATTTACATTACGAACAAAAACACTATATAGTTAATCTTATTATCATACAGATGCTTAACTATCGGGCTAGACCAAGATTCCCACTACCTAAGCAGCAGGTCAGCTACCAGGGAATCCATAAAACCCAACTTACAAAAAGTGCCCCAAATACAACATTAATATTACTTTTCTTTTAATTGAATATCGCGAATTTGTACTGAATTGGCTTTGGATTAAAACATTTTGTCTGGAGCCACAATGCTTTGTGTGAGATTTTTCGGGCATTGAATATTATTTTGAATGCAGCTCTAACAGTCTGATTAGATGATTGGAATTCAGGTCGGCATACAGTGGGATTTCGGTTGCAAAACCATTGGACAACTTTGAAGTTGCCTGACTCACGGGATAGATTAGCAGAAAATGGCATCTGCGGCGGTTAAAATTTTCAAATTCTCGGGGACGTCGAGTTCGCCATACCCAGCGACGACCGATGGCAGCTCCGTGGACTAAACGATTGAAGTTGCAGTAATCAGTGGGGGGGCCTGCACGTACGCTCAGATTTCGGCGCTCGCTGACAACCCGTGTCGCCGTCTACAAACGGGAATTTTTTCGGAAATTTCTCGTCTCCCCCCCCCCCCCCTCTAACATTCACCGGGCCCGTAAGCCGATGCACAAAGTTCCATGTAATATTTACATTAGAGTTTATCACGTCTTACTTAAACCAGCTACCCGGACAGATAATCTTCGGTCTAGTTTAGATCACACACCTGACTATCAAGGATAAATACACCAAAGAGTCAATAATGTTACCTTATAAACCTGTAACTTTAAATCGCTTTGATCTATTCACTTTTTTCTATGCGCAGAATAACTTGAAAAATTCATCATTATTCGTTTAACAAGGTTCAATTTTGTGTTTTTCAACAAGTTTATAAGATAAAGCACTCGTGTTAGGTTATCCTGGGTGAGAAAGGCCCCACAAGGAAACAATCGAGATAATTGGGAGATGAATTTATATAAATGAAATGAAATGAAATGGGGTTTAACGTCCTACTGTTCTGCACCTAACCTGGGCTAATTGAAGACGGGCATACGCCATACAGTGTGCTATGAGGGAAATTTTGCCCGGCCAGCGGCGCTACGGCCTACTCTTATATCGAATTCCAACTGCCAAGGGATCTTTTACGTGCACGCCAATGTGTACACGGGACCTCGGTTTTTCGTCCCATCCGAACGACTAGGCAGCTGTCCTTGCCAGGCCCTCCGTTCTGCATCACTGACAAGGGGAAACCACGCCGGAAAATCGTGATGAACTTTCTCGGCCAATGCAGGGATCGAACACCCGACCTCCAGGCTAGCGAGCCAGCGCCTTACCCACTTAGCTGCCCCGGCTTGTTTTCAGATCCCACAATCATATAGTGTACTTTTATAGTATGTAAATATTTATTGAATAAATAGTGTCAGAAAAAAAAATCGAGAGAAAACCCGAAGCCAAGGTTCTTTTTTCGGCATGCGCGGATTTAAATGTGTGGGGGAGAGGGCGATGGAGGCGACCGCCCCCATGAGACCAAGTAAGCGCCCCCGTGAGACAAAATCCCCTATGTCCCAGTCCTAAAAAATTAAAAGCTCAGTTGCATATCTGAATTTTTTTTCGAGCCAACAGAGCTCAATTACATTATGTCATTGATGCATTGTAAATCTTATCATTTCGTCCACTCCTCTGTCTTATACTATCTAATCACTATCAGATTCAATAAAAATCAATAAAAATCATAATATGACATGAACATTATGTCAACTTGAATAAAACTGTTATCTAGCAAGATAACGATCTCGGCGAACAACTATATCTGGCAATACGATCTACGCTCTACCGGGGCGCACAGTGTTATAGTTTATAGCAAGTATTTTGTTGACATCCATTGGGTCACTAAATTGAGGATCGCGCCTTGGATTTGGAAACGCCCCGCCCCCCTCTTCTCAGCTTCTAGATCCACTACTATTCTTCGGATCTTTCTTTCCCCAGCATAACCCCAGACTCGTCCTTTATCCATTGCAGAATACCTGTCATCACTTGTATCTACCTTGCTTGTGTTGCATATACATGACATACGCTTAAAGAGTTCTCCATGGATACAATTATAGATTGTTATTCTTTTTCACTTTGTAATATCAGGTTGATGTCGGTCTCTCTTTGGAGATATGGAATTCCACTAACAGCGGTAACAAATCTCTTGGTACAAATCTTCATTCTGATTTAAACTGTTTATATTTAACTGTATTAATAACACTGTAAATACCTAATTTCGGCAATGAATGTACAGTTGAGAGGCGACGCCTCCTAAAATCTATTAGTCGGCCGCCATTAGACGTATAGAATATGTAGTAAATGCGGCTTACCGTGTCCTTGATATGGTTAATATAAACTGCTATACATGTATAACCCTGTTTATAAACTCGGTAGAGCGTTACATAGTCATGTGATGATGAAGTCTTAATTAAAGGGACATTACTACCACTACCACTTCAATTTAGGAAAAGAGCTGTATCATCCCTTAAACATCGAAGAGCAGTCATGTCATGCTTTACATAAGAGACGTACTACCTGCTGAGCAGTAGCTATATTTGTTTTCGAGCGATGGTTATGTACCAAGTCATGTTAGTGGTGAATTGAACTCGGTTGAGTGTATTGTCCGACGCCTTTTGTTACACAGATCCAATCGGCAAACCTCGGCAGATTCCGTTACACTACATCTAGCCTCGGCTGTATGACGGTAAGTGATATGTACCTTCGCCTATACAATTATGATTCGGCACCGGTTTACTTATTAGGAAAACTTGCCGCTTTTAAAAAGGAGTTATGAAAATTGCGTCGTTCGAAGCGTGTGTAGAAATTTTAGTGCAAAGTTGTCCTTGTTTGAAGAAAATCGGATAAACTTGAAAGAAAAACAGCTTCAGACTTTGAAATATTTGTATAAAACATTTTTCAAAGGCGTCGTCATGGTCAACGCCGTTGGTAATGCGGGAACTTGAAAGTAGTTCCAATAGCGGACTTCGTCATACAGCCGAGGCTCCACTATACCCTGGGTTAGTGGAGTAGAACGGAATGAAACCACTGGGGATACCGAGGATGGCCTTCTATAGAAGATAAGTACACAGCTACCAATGTTTACTTTAAACGAATGTCAAGGTCACGATGTTAATCCGAGCTACAGAATGCCACTCACATATTCTGTATATATGCTTTAATATATGTCTAAGCTGCGTATAATAATAGTTTACTCACAACTACATCCACAAGCATGAGTATGGAAGTTACAACAAACATTTCACATTGTGATACATTACAATATCTAATTAAATATCTTACAAAATAACATTAATGGCTCAATACCAATCGTGTTGTAACTGAATAATATGTTCCAATCTTTATTCTGGTCAACAAATTGCACTATTTTACAATATTCCAATTAATTGATGATACAAATTTCATCTTAACACACCTAATTTAAAAAATTAGAAAAATTCAATTAAATGATTTGAAAAACCTGACGTAAAGCTTTTCAAATGTGACTTGGATTTAAAAATATTTTTGAACCCTCTGGACAAGTAAAATAGGATTTAATGGATAATTTACACAACAGATAGGACACTAACACATCTAGTACTTAGAATAAGGCTATTTTTTTTATTTTCTGGAGCTGTCAAGCCAGCAAGAGTGTTATTGTCCCTTTAATTTTCAAGACGAGTGGTACATATTAATCTAATCGTCAATATTTAATGTTACATATCACTTAACAATGCTATATTTATATTGGGAGCCACGGTGGCTATGTGGTTAAGACGCTGACTCGCTAGCCTGGAGATCGGGTGTTCGATCCCGGCACTGGCCGAGAAAAGATCAGGGTTTTCCGACGTGATTTCCCCTTGTCAGTGGTGCAAAACGGAGGGCCTGGCAAGGACAGCTGTCTAGTCCTTCGGATGATACGTAAAACCGAGGTCCCGTATATACAATGGAATGCACGTAAAAGATCCCTTGGCAGCTGGAATTCGATATAAGAAAAAGGCGATAGTGCTGCTGCCTGGGCAAAATTGCCTTCATAGCACACTGTATGGCGTATGTCCGTCTTCTTTAGCCCAGTTTTGGAGCAGAACAGTAGGACGTTAATGCTGTATTCGTTACCGCTTGGAAATATCGTGTTTCCCACTAGGAAATAGTTAATACCACCTGGGGCGGATTGGGTCATCGCCCGAAGGGCCGGTCAGACAAAAAATGAAATTTTTATATGGGGGGGGGGGGGGGGTATGGACCGACCATGGAGCGATGATGATCATGTTGTATGTGGCCGGTGGCTTTAACGGGCCGCCACGCCATCACTGGAACCTGGAATAGGCTGGTATAGACTCTCTGGGTGTGGGCCGGAATTCGGAATCCAGCAATGGGGATTCCGAATTTCATCGGATTCACCTGACACTGTCGCCCGTAAATTTACTAATTATTAAGTCACCTGCACCCGGTTTGTGGGGATGCGCCAGAAACGTCTGCCGATGGTTCGTAACTCCAAAAATATTCAATTTTAAGGCCTCGGCAAAAATTGATGATAGCTGGTCTGCTGGCTGAATATGAGTGCGAGACGATTTCCTGAGGCTGGTGTTTAAAAACATTCCTTGACATTTTTATTAACTCGTTATTTTCAGAGATGAAATTACAGAATTGGGATGTCGGGAATGGTCTCAAATTGCGGGAAATGGCCTCCCATTTCCAAAAATTCAAAAATGAATTGTCGCCCGTACGCCTTTGCATGTCCGCTCCCACTCCGCCAGGCAACACTGTTATTCAGTATTCCTAACTGGTTAATAAAATGGTCAAAATTTTCTCAACTAGTCCCATTTTTTAACCAGTTAAGACTCTTGACGATACAATGATAATATGTTAATTAATAATATGACGATATGATAATTTCACAGGTTGATGGTTGTAAATTACCTGCAGGTCGGGGTTTTGGCCTAAACTAATCGATTTAAGAGATATTATTTGACAGATTATAAATCAGATATACCACCAAATCGCATATTCGGGGTTCATTTTTCAAAATTTTCCTCGCCCCCCCCCCCCCGTTCGGACTCCGCGGTCAGTAAAAGGGGCCACTCCGACACGGGAGTCTGGGCCGGTTCCCGGCCCCAATCCGCCCCTGAATACCACACTTGTGTCCCAATCCGCCCCTGAATACCACACTTGTGTTCGGGTGCACAAGTGGGAAAATCAACATGGCTGTCATTATCTCTTCAAGGATTATTAAAACCCCTCATCATCATTTGTGAAATTTAAATCGCTTAAAAGGAATATCAGTCCAAAGACGTTTCAGTTCGGCAAACGATATAAACAAGCCAGTGTAACCCTTAAGTATTGGTCAATCTTTTGATGGGCCTCTTTTAAATCCAATTACATTCAAGCTACAAAAAATCTACATATTCCGTTGATGATCTATTTTGGTTTAGTTTTCTTAATTAAATGTTAAATAATCAATCTTAATTAAATGTTAAATAATCAATCTAAGAACAATTTATCGTACATTTAGCCGTGAAAAAGTAGATAAAGTCTATTGTCGATTAGCGGCACGGTCAATTAGCTTAGCATATGCCTACTAATATCTAATTAATTGTTAAGGTATGTAGACATTTTAAATTCAAAGAAACGTAGGACGGTAATCTAGTTTGACCTAGTTTGTGCCGATTGGGCGTTAAACCACAGTTACTGAAACATTTTTGTCGATATAGTTCGTACGGTCCTAAAACCTGAACTGCCGTACGGTACACTAACAAGTTAGTACAAAATGGAAAGCCGGGTATTTTTCTCGTTTTCTATTTAATGTGTTTCTTGTCATTGTTCAGAAAATGTATCCCAATATGTAAAATTCTATAAATCACGTATTCAGATCGATATGCACATCCACAACAAACCTAACTACAAAAATAGTAATTTACCGTTGAAAACGTTCAATTTTGTAACTTTGGCTGCCATCTTGTTACGTCATATGTATGTCGTGAACTCAATTTTAGCTACCCCAGTTCTCCAGCAGAAATCACGACTTCCGAGACAGATATTGTAGTTACGAACGCTATTTACCTATCCGTTAGTCGTATTTTCCATAAAACCGAGGAGTAACGAATACAGCATAAACCCCATTTCATTTCCTTTCGTTTAATATAAACATAAAAATGTATAAATACCATGCTAGTTAAATGAATCTGAAGTATATTCAAAAGTCTCAAAACAATACAACTAGCAAGAACATACTTACAATTTTCTATAAATTATGAATAACTAACCCCAAAAAATCAACTGTAACAGAGAGAGAGAAATGGGGTTTAACGTCCACTCGACACAAACTAGGTCATTTCGGGACTAACATATGGTTTTATTTTATTTCAATAATTCGCTTGCGCGTAGGGGTCTTTAGCAGTGGGAGGAAACCGGAGGACCCGGAGAAAATCCACGAGGTTGGACAGGCGAGCCTACTCCTTGTCACGTACAACCGGGGATTCGAAACCACGCCAGTCGACTCAATGACAGACTTTATGATAAATCGCGCACGCTAACCATTCAGCCATCCAACCCCCCTCAACTGTAACAAGATACATTAAAATAGTGTATAAAAACGTTTCAACAATATCACAATAATAAAAAATGTCCATATTAATGAAATTAACACAAATATTGTCTATTATTTAAACTCGATGCTTCACACACTTGAAAATCAGAGTTCATTCTCGAATTTAAAAACGATTTTCTTTCGTCCTCTAGTGCTTCACACAAAATTTGATTTTTTTTTTAAATATCCATTCACAACGGTAACCCATTACGTTCATTTTTGAGAACGTTTTCAATTAGAAAATTGTGCGTTTGAATCCATAATATATCTTTCAATACTTGAAAGGACCCGATTTGTTAAAATTTAATATTGGATCAATTTTTATCTAGTGAATGTATATGTTCAGATGATTTTAGTTGGGAACTGGTGGTCAGTGAACATAATGTACTTTAGCTGAACAAGCCCTGTGCTGAGTAGGGTTTCGTCACCTATGTTACCAGCAGTAGCAGAACTGAAGATTGTTCTAACAAACTGAAACTAATTTTGGATCCCTTGTTGTGTTCTGGTTTTGGATCCCTTGTGTTCTGGTTTTGAACCGTTATTCTGGTTTTGAATCCCTTGTTATTCTGGTTTGGGTTACCATCTATAGTACGACTGTTGTTCCGTCGGACAGGTCTCTCGGTTTATTTGTTTTCACATGTCGGTTTGTCTGGGCGAAAGACCGAAGAAATTTATCGTTCAAGTTCGTTGCAACAACTGGTGTTGCAACTTCCTCCTCCATTTCATGTTCTTGAAATATTCACGGATACTGATAACGATTGATATATATTTCTGTTTTTGGTGCCTAATATTAAATACTAGCAGGATACCCGGCTTCGCTCGGGGGTCATAACTCCGAAACCGGAAGTGGTAGACTAACGCCACCTGGCCTATGTTACTCCCCGGTCCGAGCTACCCCTATACCCCAAATTT